TAAGTAACACAATTCTACGTTGTCTTTTGTTTACCTTACCTCGACGCGAGTAGCGCAAACGATTCTCTCGTCACGGATCCCAAGGATCCAGACTGGAAGGGGGCTGTGTCGGTAAACGTCCGGTTTGCGCTACCGTCTCGATCGCACGACTGCCTGTGAGAGCAGCACCTACCGGCCGGGGGAAGTAAAAAGGCAACTTGGTCCGAAATGGGGCGGAATCCGTGCGAAGAAAGAAGGACCAGTAGAGGAGTACCTCTGGCAATGGTAATAGCGTGAAGGAATAGAGGAGTATCTCTAGTATCGGCAACAGTGAGTGCGTGCGAGAGCTGTATCCAGTAAAAATCATTGAACGCCAATACAAAATTGGCAATAGTTTATTATTACCGTTATCTCGTTAACGCAGCTAGTACGCCATCGTAGGCCAGCCACGAAGCCACTGAATTAACTCGGTGGAAGCAACAGAGGAATAGAGAAGACCTCGTGTTTGATTTGGAAAAGCGGCAACCTGAGCCACGCGTTGAAGAGTGACGTCGATTTGTTCCCCCTGATAAAGCGACAAGCGTATCAAGGTAAGCTGGCCAGCTTCGCGTTACGATGTTATTGAACAGCCGCGCCTGATCTGTTAACCTTTCTTTCGCAAAGTCATGCGCAAGCGTTAATAAACCGGCAGCGCTCGTTTGATTTGCGATTGCGATTAAAATGGCGGTGCGTATAGTTGTCGCGCTCATTGAATAAACGTTTATGCGTGGGCTAAATGCGTTGTAGATAATTATCGTAAATAAACTAGTCTGTGTGTGATCGAAACAATAATTTATTTTCGTTCCTTGTTATTGCTTAGTTTATTGAGTGATACCCGTCCTTCTCCACTCCTCGGTTAGTTAAAGATTGCTTATTTTGTTCTCATCGCGCGCATTCCGGCTCGACTGCGCACTGTGTGAGATAAAGGTATTAACACGAAATTCATACCCCGTTACACTATTTATATTATCAAATGAAAGAACAAATATAGCTATTGACATTAAAAAATGATGTAAACTATTAATACCGCTAAAAGGACGTGAATTTCCTGCCAAATGAACGCCTTGACTTGTCGAATGAACGCTCTCTACCTATAAGCTGCTGTTTGAACAATGAAAGTCAAATAGCAGGCGGGTGAACGCTTTGCTTGTTATCTACCTAACTTAGAATTAACGCGACCTTCAAGCTGCCATGAAGAGAGGAAAGAGTATTCACGAGAGAGATTGATTGATTATGCATTTATTAAACCTTAGGATAGAACCCCATAGGCTATATACAGTGAGAGTCCAATACATAAAATTTACAGTAAAAAGCAACCACTAAAATATAAGGCAATAAAAGTTACGAAAGATACAATCGAAAAGCAATGAACTTAAAACAAAATAACAAAATACATAAAAATAAAAAGAATTTTAAAAAATCGGTGAGAAACGTAAATAATTAATAAAATACAAAAGAGTATTAATACATAAAAGCGAAACGCAACTACCATAGAGGTGTACATGCGTCAGCGGAAAGAAAAACACGCAAAGAGGCAAGTAATCGTATAGGCAACGAGAGCATAATAAATGTATATAAGCAGCAGCTCAGGAACACCCGAAGAAATGTACCCGAAAGAACGAAAGAGGAAAACAATAAAGATTAAGAATGATATTGTAAAGGGAACAATTAATGAAGTGAATTAAAAGGAGGAAAATTATAGGCAAGATAAGATCCAGGATTGTGTAGATAGTTTGAGGTGGACGTAAAAGCTGAGACATTAAAAGGAAGTAAGGCAGCTGGTAGCTTTAAGGGAGACGGAAGGTTTGAGAGAGATTCGGATCTGACTATGATGAAAGAGCTGCTACTTAATTACTGTGAAAAGTGAAAAAAGCCAGGAATTGAGTTCATCGTATCTGTCCACGTCAGTCAGTGATCGATAACTGATTAAGAAGGAACATGCCATAAATCGAAGCAGAATTGAACCAGGCCTTAGTGCGAGGTGCCGGATATGAGAAAGCCATGAGTGAATTGCGAGCAGAACGTTTGATATGGGATTAATTCGGAGTTTGCAGATAGGTAGTGAGATATGTTGGGTGTAGGGAACAGACAGTTTTATAAGTGTGAAGAAGAAGTAAAATTTGTCGGTATGTCTCAAAGGAGAGCCAACGAAGTCGAAGTCTATGAAAAATTACAAGGGATTTAATATTTGAAGATAGAATGACGGAATTAAACCAGTTACAAAACGAACACATACATTATGAGCGACTGGTAGGGCTTTAGATCTAATTTTATCTAGTTTATGAAAAATCAAAGAAGCGTAATTAAAGTGAGAAAAAATTAATATTTGCACAAGGTATTTTCTAGTAGTGATAGCTAAGGATTTTCTGTAAAATTTGAGGGAGTTTAAATTAAGATAGACCTCTTTAATGATGCTGTTTACATGAGTTTTTAAATGGAGTGTAAATGAGATTATGAAGTCGCGACTCTTGACCAAGAGAGAGGATATACCAAGGGTATAGGATTGTTATTAACGGTGATCTGCAAAAGTGAACTAATGTTTAAAGATGAAATATAGGATTCACTGCCGATAATGATAGCATTTGTCTTAGCAACATTAAGTTGGAGACCATTGAGCCTGGCCCAATCAGCAACAGCCTGCGCATTAAGTTGCACTCTGACAAGACCATGAAGGATTTCAGAGGGGAAACAGTGATAATAAATTTAGGTATCATCGGCATAGATCATGTATCAGCAAAATAATAGTACTTTAAGTAGATGATTTATAAAAATAGCAAAGAGGAATGGTCCCAGAACGATCTGAGCACGCAATCACTGCGAGACCAAGCCCCTCTGATCAACAACAGTCTGCAGCCGTTCAGTCAAGTAGCTCAAAAACCAACGGAGTATTGAATCAGCAATATTGCAGGTTCTTATTTTATAAATGAAAAAATCATGAGGGATCTTGTCAAAAGCCTTAAAAAAGTCAAAGAGCAAGAGTATAGTAACTTGCCTCGACTCAATAGCATGACTAATTTATCATGAAGACCCACCAGGACAGTCTTAGTCGAGTGGCCCCTCCAAAAACCAGTCTGCTTCTCATCTAAGAGATTATTAGCATCCATATAAAAAGAAAATTATCTATGGAGTAAGCGTTCCATAACCTTGGATGGCTTGGAGAGCTGGGCTAAAGGTCTGGTATCAGACAAATTCTGGTATCAGAGCTGATGATGTATTGACAAGTGACGTGACGATACTCGACGAACGATCGGCACAATATACAAAATCGGTCGAACCAGAAAAAGCAGGACGAGAGTTCGAGGAGATAAAATTGTGATGATAAAGAAAATTATTAAACAGACATAAAAGTGAACGATCAAGGCGCTGCAATACAAGGTTACACCTGGCACTGTTACGATGTGACATTAATAAAATGTAGAAAAACTTACACAGTCTCAGTTAGTCAGATAAAAAAGGATGTTAGGCGACTGACTCTTGTCGGGAGAGCATTTCGCGCAAACTCTGTAGGTCAGGCTTTTCGCGTGATGACGCATCATCACAAAGTAAATGACGAGAAAAACATGATGATACAGAACAAAAATGCATGCAGAGATAACAATAATAATAACGTAAAAGCAGTATAAAACACACAAGCAAATGACGGTTTGCTATAGCGCAACAGCATACATTCACAACAGAAAAGAATCTCTCACTCAAAAATAAAAATAGGTGCAGAGATTTAGATAAGGTTCAGTGATTATTATAGATGATAGTCCAGTGAGCAGGGAAGCGAAGGCCTGTGAGTGTTGATGACAATAAGATACAGAACCAGAACCCATGTCATCCAGTAGATGACAAAATTACACCAAGGTTAGGTGATGACCTCGAGAAGGAAATGCAATTATTTAGGACAAGTGCAGCGAAAAAACGCAGAAATCAGCACAAACCTGGTTGCCGAATAGAAATCGCTTCACCTGAAATAATTTGCTCGAGAAGTCGAAACAAAATATTAGAAATATTGAAGAAAAAATAAAATATAAATATTGCAGATTGAAAAACGAAGGCCACAGGATGATGCGCTACCACTGACGCTAACCGTTTCTTCTACGCAGATTTCAGTGATTCACCGGAATGCTGACGGACCGACCAAACCATCTAGCTTGTCTCTTTGTCTTTTTCAAGCAGTCATTCAATGCAAACTAGCTTAAAAGAAGATCGGAGGAAACGTGATGTTGCACGAACTTTCAAGCTTAGATGTAGCTAACTCATAGGGAGTTAAAAAATCCTGCCTGCCGGCTGCAGCATACTCGCGATCACCGACTCGCGCTCTTTTTGCTCCCTTTTGATCTACTCTTAAACAGCACGCGACACAGCTCTTATCAGTTGTGCGTCGCGCGCTTGCTTAGATGTACATAGTGCATGTTATGCGCTCTCTCTCTTTTTCTCTCACTCTCTCTTTCTTCTACTACTGTATAGCGTCTTTGAACCTCCTCAGCCACTTATCATTGGTGATCAGCGACTGCTGAAACAAAGAAAGCTATTAGTTAGACGCATTCTTATAATACGCTCAACACTGGCCACTGTGCCTCACCGTGAGCAAAAAGGAAAGGGAGAGAGTTATACTAGAGATAAGTTTACTGCCTGCTCTTATCACATATTTATGATGTCTCGTGCTATATTTTTGAGTTGACTTGATTTGATCAGGAGGGTACGTTAAAGTAAGCTGCTTGAATCTCTGGTAGATACATGACCGTGCGCGAGCTATCAGCAAGTGATTTACTAAAAGAATTGATCGTTTAAGCTACTTGGTGTGGAGAGTAAATTTAACGTAATATAATATTCATTACCAAGATTATTATAGAAAGCTACCTTGAACTAAAAATAAGATATCTAGTATTTAACAAATCTTTATATACTCTTTATGTTTCTAGTACAAACAAAAATAAAAATTATGTAGAATATGTTTGAATAATTTTCAATTCAAATTTTTTTTTTTTTTTTAGGCTTTATACGATTTTTAGAAGGATACTACATAATTCTTATTACTAAAAGAAGAAGAGTGGCTGCAATCGGGCATCATACAATATACAAAGTAGAAGATTCGACAATGATATATATTCCAAGTGATACTATACGACACTTCCATCCTGATGAGCAAAGATACGTGAAAATGTTTCAGAGTATAGATTTAAGCAGCAATTTTTATTTTAGTTATTCTTATGATTTAACACATACATTGCAACATAATATGATTGTAACCAATTACTTGCAAAATAAAAAAATATCTAATAGTATTTCTTCAATATTAAAAGAAAATGAAAATAACCATGCACAAAATTCTTTTGACATGTCGGCATTCCAAGCAGAAGTAGACGAAAATAGGTATGTTAAAAATAAATATATGAAATCTAGTAAACAGTATACTTTTATAAAATTGATAAAATTTTAATAAAGATATTATAGTGCTAAACAGGAGTATGGAATTTGGAATAATCCTTACCGACGTTTTATCTGGAATTCGCATCTATTATCACCTGTCGCAAATGAGCTGCACAGGGATTGGTTAGTACATATAATTCATGGTTTTGTCGGTCAATCGAATGTAAGTGTATATGGGCGATCATTATACATTACAATTATAGCAAGAAGAAGTAATAAATATGCTGGAACAAGATTTCTTAAGCGAGGTGCTAATTTTGAAGTAAGTCTCATAAGTCACAAAAAAGATTAGTTATTATCTGAATAGATAACATTTAATAATGAATAAATATTTACAATATTATAAGTAATTATTATATTATTTGTCATCATAACTTCGTATAAATAGAAAAAATCAACTTTTTTCTTAGATATCTCATAAATTCATGTGACTATTTTCTATTATAACAAGATCTAAAATGTATTTTGAGAATCCAAAATATAACTAATCATAGGTCTTCTCATTATGTGTATGCTTACGGGTGTGTGAACGTACGTGTGTGTGTCTTTCCCTACCCCGACTATTTCTCTCTTTCTCTCTCTCTCTCTCTCTTTCTCTCTCTCTCTCTCTCTCTCTCTTTCATTTTCTTTTTCTTTTTCTGTTTGCTTGCCTACTTAGGTGTCTTGATTTTTCTCTATGTTTTTCTCTATCCCTATGGATGTAGGATAAAATCTTTTATAGTCTGTACCATGCATTGTTGATAAGATTGTCGAAATTATCTCAACTCCAATGTCGTGATGCATCAAAATTTTACTTACACATGTCACTCACCCGTACTTTTTTTCAATATTATTTTGATAAGATCTGTCCTAAAATCCCGAAGAATCTCTCTTTGGATATTACATTTCTCAGTCTATCATTCTTACGATTTCTTCAGTTTCTTTTTATCATTTTTGTCTTCTTTTTTTTGGTTTTAATTGTTTCCCTAGTGAATAGTGATAGCAAGTAGCTTTAAGGTCTTATGTTTTCTTGAACATCAACATGGTCGTTACGAAGTTATCTTTTGATAACCAAATCCATCCTACTTTTGCTGTGAGCTGTCTTCAATCGTATTCGTAGAGCACTCAAGCAAAGTGTTTCCTGCGGTATCATTCACCGTAAAAACGATAATGGCTTCTGGGCCTGTATCTTGTTATCAATAGATATGTTCCGAAACAGTTATCGTTATTAAGTCTCTGTGTCAGTCAGTACTTTATCTCGTCATAGTTCTGTAATATCCACTTCTTGACCTTCTATATAAAAGTATATATCAATCATTCATCTTTTAAAAAGTACAATTTCACTTGCCATCTCTCGAAAAGCATCTCACTTATTTTTGTTCATATATACTTCTTGTCCTGCTTAATCAGCTGTTCCTGTTTTCGTCAATGTTATTATTGCATGGTTCATATATCCTTATCTTTCAATAGTTAATAGCTTGTGATGGAGAATCGCGGCATGGCTTTCGTTTCTGTCGTCGGGCTCTCGTCGGGGTTTGAGCGCCGCGCCAGACTGCGAGTGTGTGCGTTATAAGCATATACTCATGTAAGCCTTTTTCTGTTTTCCGAGGTTCGATGCTGGGGCGACGGTGAGAGAAGAGCGAGGAGAAAGAGAGAGAGAGAGAGAGACAGTGGAGAAAGAAGAAAGAGAGCGTTTCACGTGCATCTTTGCGCCGATTGTGGAAAGAGAGACAGCCAATACAAGAGTTTTATACAGGTCATCACGTGCGTGCAGGAATTATGTTTTTTCTGGCATAATTCTGTTGAGTTTCCCGTGCTCTTGCCGACGGATAATTGCAGAGGATACACGCCCAGTGTGTTAGAGTGATAGGCTTTGATTGGAGATTGGTTGGGTCGCACCCAGCCACGTATTTTGTCGCGAGGACCCACACTGGTGTGTGAGTTTTCCGGCGAGGTGACACAAGCGTACGCGCGTCAACGATCGTCATTAAGCCTAATGGAGTATTGTGAGAAGGAGAAGGAGGAGTTCAACGATACCAGCAACAACAGCAATAACAACAACAACCACAACAACAGTAACAACAGGAACATCAACACGAGCATTGGAAACAAGAGTACACACACGCACACATACATACACACACACACACACACAACCACACAGCAGATTTTTTGGCAACAAGAGAAGCAGCCGAAGAAAACAAAGGAGAGCGAACGAGGTCGGTGCCGAGTTTTCTCTCTCTCTTTCGCATGTACCGGGTGTATCTATCCGGAGGATAGTGAGGCAGACTTGCCAGCTACTTCGCCGTTCGCGATCGCAACGATATTTCTTGAAACGTATGCCGTTTAGTGTTGTTTGTAAAGCGTGGAATTTGTAGTGTGAAGACGAATTGAACGTCAGTTCTGCCGCCAATTCGTACTTCTTCACAAGCGCAGAGGAGATTTGTCGGTCGTGCGATAAGCGAGCGTTATGTTGTTGCGTTTATGTTTAATTTATTGTTGCTTCTTAAGTTGTTTATTTGTTTTGTTATCTTTTGCTGTTATTAAAACTGGATCTTAAGAACGACGAGATTTATTGATTTATTCGCTGTGTCACTCCTCCTCCTGGGAAAATTATTATTTACACGTGTTTTGATATGTCCGGCTCGGCAGGTCATTCAGTTGTGAAAACGTTCGTGCTTCCCGAATTCCCACCTTAAATAAATAATTCGTGTGGATGGCCGCGAGCTAACCAGGCGGTATCGGCTGTTTCTCCGTTACAAGCTAACCTCTATAAGCACATTAGCCGCAGCTCGTACTAGTGAATGCTATGCTGCACCTATATACGTAGGTTCATTTTGCATTAGTCTGCTTGTCGACTATTGCTGGCAAAACTACAGTTGGCCATATCAATACAGTTATATTGACTTTACAACTATACAAATCCTGACAGTGATGTACAGATTATTGACTTTTTTGTTCCTGCTTTCTTGACGTGATGCTTAAATGACTACTTACCATACTTCCAAATATTTTATCTCGTTCTGTAAAGGTATTATTCCTCTATTTATTACAAACTAAAAATATCAAATTTCCTCGCCATTCTTAACCGCAAATGCCTACTATTCAGCCATTGAACTATTAGTTCCTGAAATTCATGGCAATTACTTCTACTAACTTTGCTGTTTCAGATATTAGTATTGGTACTAAGTTGTTAGTAAATCTAAATAGCAATACTCTGTTAGATAGCTTCAGTTTCAATTTTCTATCATATATGTAGATTTATAAGAAGAAATTTTTACCGATTCCTGTGGTTTTCCTGCAGAAGGTCGATTACACACTTCTTACATTTAGTAACTATTACTGATTTTCTGTCCTAAAGGTAGCTATTCAATATTTTTAACAGTAGATGTGTCGATAGCTAGCAGAGTTAAGTGCATTCTTGACTTCCAGTGCGATGATGGTACAGCATCTTTCTCAGTCGTGCAGCTCGTATTAGCAAAACGATAGAGTACCCAGTTAGTCTTCTCAAAAATGTCTGTTACCCCTCTCTTGGTCGGAAAGAAAAATCGTCATTGGTCAGATGTGATAATTTGCGTGTCTGATACGCTGTCTGATTATTCTCCAATTTAGTGTTATTTTATTTCTTTTTAAACCTATTCTACTGATATATTTCACCTCTAGTTTCATGGTTGCTCTCACCTCAGTGTGCATCAGTGATGAAGATTGAAATTGGTTTTTATAAACTACTCTTTTATTGGCCAATCTCTCAGGTGACGTTAGCGGCGCATTTTTCATATTTTCATTTGATTTTGCCGGATTGACGTTGGTATTATCAGTTTCATTATTTGCTATGTCTGATCACGCATACTCAATTTACATGTATTATTCTACCTCAGATATAAATATAAGTTATATGTATAATAGAACATATTATTCATCAACAATTGTAGATAAATCAATTTCACTTGATATATATCATTTTTGCAATCCATTGCTTACCCGGTATTGGTCATCTCATATACAGTATGAGTCACTTTAATCTATGGACCCCTATATCTCAAATTCTATGCATATTACAGAAAAATAATTCAGACAAAAGTTGTTCAATACCAAGGGAACCATATTTTGGTGACCTTAAATTTGACCTTGAACATGATAGGTCAAGGTCATTCCAAGGTCAATGTTTTTTTAAATAGAAACCCATAATTTTTATTTCGGATTAAGATTCTGCGTTGAATTCTACGTTCAAATCATGTAATATGTGTAGGGTTCGAATGACCCCACCCCACCCCCACAATTACTTCAAGGTCAACTTTACTTTTTGAATGGAACCCCTCATTTTTCGTCACAGATTTATATTTTACGTGAAATTGTATATTCAGATGATGGGATATTTATAGGGTCCGAATGACCCTCTACCCCACCCCCAAAATCATTTCAAGGTTAACCTTACTTTTTTAATGCTAACCCCTATTTTTCACACCGGATTTGGAAATAGCGGGACATTATTCGTCCGGAATAATATTCAAAGGTTTATTTTCCTGCCCTTCCGAGGGTTAATTCAAGAGCAAAATTTTAAAAAATTGGATAGTAATTTTTTTAAGTTCTCTAACGAATTAGTCGCTGTGAAAGTATCTATTTGAAACATGTTAATTTAAGTTAGACACTGTTGACCTCAAAAGTAACTCAAATAAGAAAATATTGTTTATTTATCAACCTATCTCTTCCCCCTTTCCTTTTCCCATCCTGTTCTTTCCACTCCCTCCCTTACTTATCCGTCTCCCTATCCTACCTCTCGTATTATCTTGCTTCTCTTTCCCCCTCCCTTTCACTTCATGTGATTAGTCATATGAAACTGTTTAACCGTGTTCGATTTGAATGATGAATAAATTGAAAATTATTGGTTTCATCTTAAAGAACTTAAGATTTAATTAAATTTATTTAATTTTTTTAATTTCAATGCAAAAAAGTGTAGATGTAAATATCTTCGAGTTATGCCCTGCAAAATAATAACTTCCGAGGAATGAAAAATTTTTCAGTAATATTGTTAATTCGCAAAGTCATGCACAATACTTTTATGATTGTAAACTAGAAAGTTTCTGATTGGTATTACTTTTTTTCTAAAATCTTGTATTCATTATTAAAACTTGATCAGATTATTACGAGGGGAGGTTAATAAGTCTTTACAAAAAGAAGGAAAAAAAATTTTGCGTATGTAATTTTTTTATTTTTCAACATAATTTCCTTGAAGGTCAATAAAGTTTATTAAACGGCCTTCCAGTTTTTTTAAGCCATCAGAAA